TCGAGTGACTGACTGCTGAGATCCTTGGAGCTCGCAGAAAACGTGGCTCATGACAACAAGGAGACCTGGATCATCACCCGACACCTGCAGTTGGCTGTCTGCAATGATGAGGAGCTCAAAAAGCTGCTGAGAGGAGGAAGGAGTTCTGCCCAACATTCAGGTGGTCCTGCTGCCCAGGAGGACCGAGAGGCCCGCTGGGTCTGGGTGGATGGATCGGCGTCTGTGGCCAGATTCTTCAGATCGGCAATCGTAGAGCCTTCCTGCCCACAGCCATCAGCATCTATAACAACTCTTAATGAAACCAGGATGATGAGCTACAACATTTAATTTCCCTTTGGGATTAATAAAGTATTTTGAATTGAATTGAATTAATGAACTAAATTGATACTTTTCATTTACTGCTTTACAGACCGTGTTAGTATTGGTGTTTGTCTGTGTGTATTGCTGTTTTTGTTGGGGTAAAGAATAATCTGATGTTTTAGGATGAACATCAAAATTTTAGTCTCTTAAATTGAATCAAGCCAACTTGAATCAGACATTATTTTTGAACGACAATATATTTGTTCATATGTCAAACAGCAGAACCAGCAGTGTACTACACAACCCAAGGGATCATTTATTTAACCATGTTTCATATTTTCAGCGAGGCAGAATCATTTATTTATTTATTTACTGTTTATTCCCTAAATTATAAATTGCAACAAGCAGTATTACATCTTAGCATCTCATTTCGGCTGAAATAAACCACACTTTATTTGTATGGTTTTTGCATTTCAACTCCGCTGGTGAAGCACTTTTTAATCCATGTTTAGCTGTTTGATAAATAACACATTTTGCTTTAATATGTTAAACATTAGTTGCATTTTTCATATGGTTTTACTCTTGTAGAGATCCTATTATTGTTTGTGTTCACATCATCTCATTGTATTTAAGGACCAAAGCTGCCAGAGGCCGCTGCCGAGACATTGTATATTTATGGTATTCTAGTGGCTAGAGGTCCTACTACAAATTAAGATATTGTGAAATCTTGTTTTTCTTGTGCTCCTCGCAGATGAGATTAAGTTTCTGATTTTCTTCAAGTTTGAGACTTGAATTCATCCTCCAGCCTGAGTTTGCCTTGGACCTTCACACATTAAACCAATCCTCTTCACGCAGACATAAAACTGGAAAAACCCTCACTTACCTCTTCATCCTGCTTTGACTTTCATACACCAACATGTGAAACTCACCTACCATACTCGCCTTCCTGGAACCTGGAATCTTGCCCTCCTTTCAAAGCCTGAACTCCTTCAGCCTGAATAAGCCTCCTGTGTTTAATATGAAAACCTTCCAGAAGATCCTCTGCCTTAAAGAAAAACCTTACCATCTACATTCTGCTTCCACAGATGCGTACTCGTTTCCTCCCAATTCAGTCTCTGTAAATATTGTAAATAAATTAAATTTCTTACGTCACTCTCTGGAGTCTTCCTGGGTTTCAGTTAACACACTCTGAGAAATCAAACTGTACAAATGTGTCAACTCTAACATTAATAAATAGGACTATGAGTCAAACAGCTCGTAAATATTTATACTTTAGTACAAGACGCTACAGTGTGAGATTTGTATAAAGCTTTTATTATGAATATTGGTAATTTATTTCAGTTTATTTTCATTTTATAATTTTATGTTTCCAAGTCACAACAAAAGTTTGATCATGGCACAACACAGAGAGTAAATGGATCTGGTTTAACCTAAATATTATCTATTTCAAGGATTCAAGGTTCTTTATTGTCATTCGCATCGCATGTGGTACGTGAGGTGGAACGAAATTGGGGTCCCAGTTACATCCAACAACAGGAAGAATATAAATTGAAAAGAAACAATAATAAGGATCTAAGATGTAAACTAAGAAATACGCTAAAGTAAGAACAATACGCCGAACAACATAGTCACAAACGAGCCTGTGCGAGTAGATGAGTATGAATGAATACAGCAGCATGAAATAATCAGCAGCACATGTCATCAATCAAATTCAATCCCCATTATTACAATCATACACAGTCTTATGCAACCCACTGTAATAAAATTCAGTAAAATAATTGAATACTCTGTGTATTTTATTTTATTTTTTCCTTCTTGCTCTCGGTGAAGACGGGTGCTTTTTCCTCCCACTCCTTCCCCTGCTTCTGCTCTTTGTCCTGTGAACCTTTTGGAGCCTTTTTTTTTATATCTTCTGAATTTTAAATTATAGATCTGGTCAGCTAGTCTCTCAATGTAATTGATCAAATTTGCACAACGAGAAGAAAAGGCGAAGGAGAGCCCTCCTGCCTCGACGGGACACTTACAGACGGATACACGATGGATTCCTGGAGCAGTGGAAGATTGTGTGTCTGTCCACATTGTCGGTCAAGGATGTTGAAGATGCGTACATAATTGGCTTGATGATAACAGGATTTCTGCTTTTTGGAGTTGGTGGTTACCTGGCATATCAACAAATTTGAAAAATGTTCGCAGCTGTTCTGGTCATTGTAAAATCTGCCTGGCCTGTGTGAAGGAATGTGCTGGGCTGTGAACACTCAAACTCAAATGCTGTGTGAGCTGAGCTATAAGCTGGACTCAATTTCTGCTGAGAATCGCAGGCTACTTGCGGCTCCTGAATCTCACTGGCGGGAAGGAATCGACCTCGGAGAAGTTACAAGCTTGGCTCGGTGGTACTGACCACGAAATTTGGCTGTTTGGAGTCACCATCAAGATGTACCAGTAGAACTGTAAGACAGACGAAAATCAACGAAGTCGACCTGACCCAAAACAATTGTAATCTGAATCTGGCTCCCCCGTGTCGGCCTTGGAAGCTAACTATCTCAAATTCTCCTGGATGTTATGTGAACAAAATGCTCTGCCCCCACTAACCGTTTCCTTCCCCAAGGACATCTGTGGACCTGTCTGGAACAATGTTCATGGACTTACTCACAAACGCACACATGCATACCCTCATTCACAAAGCTCACACTCCCCTCAACCCACTGCCTTTGCTGGCCTCCCTCCTTGTACGGTAACTTAGGTTGGATGCGAAGCACCAGGTGGCTGCGACGCTCTCCTGGGCGGCCTGTGCTGGGAGCCCTCTTACCACTTAACCCTCACCCACTCCACATGCATCTTATTATGTCATCTGTATGTTGCTTTTTTTTATGCTGAGGTTTTTGGCAACGTCATACTGTGGCCTGTTAGGGATACAGTGTGAGATATGATTTTTTTCCCCTCTTCTTTCCCTTGTGTTCCCTTTTCCTTATTTAACAATAAAAGGCAGCACCTCTCATGAGGCTGCAGCCTCAGACACTCTGTCCTCCCATGTCTATGTTGTTTGGTTGTTTGTCTTTTGGATGGGCTGTAATGAAATGAAACTTTGCTGTGCTTCGGTGCAATGACAATAAAGGCTGATTATGTTTAATATTTATAAATTAGCAATTTGTAGACTGTTGTTTCCCTAAGGAAGTTAATGTTTGTCATTTAATGTTTATTTCAGTAGGATGGAGTGAGAGCGGAGCTCCTCAGACTCGATGAGAGCAGCCCTTTATCTAAAACAGTGATAACATTAAGTTAGTAACTTGCTGCTTGACAAACAAAATGTTTTGCTTGTGAAGATATGGTATTTCTGTTTCAAACAATTTCAGAATACAGTCTGAAGCTTTTTCCCAAGTGGTTTTTGCTTTGGATTCATATCAGACTGACTGTGGAGAGTTGCTGCTCTGCTTCAGGTGAATGTAAAACCTAAGTGAGTGTGTTTGTACAGAAGGTAGGGAGGGTGAAAGCTGTGTGTGTATAAATCAGTGTGTGAGCAGAGAGCATGATCTTAGCTTGTCTCATGTTGTTACAGTGACCTCTGCTGCTGCGTGGTCACCCTCAGTGACACTCGGTGCAGAACAGACGTATATTCACATGGAACCTGCAGTCCGTGCAACATGCATTTTTATTAATTTGTTTTTATTTAGAATTACAACCATTCATTTATTTGGCGGACTCGTTTACACTCAAATTTTAAATCTCATGTCACTGATATGTACATCCACTAAAAACTAAAACAAGTGTTTAGTAGCCTGATCTGTGAGTTCCTCTTCAGGTGATGCTGTATTCAAAGAGAGAAGGCTCTGAATATGTTGAGAGCCTTTTTGCTTATCCCTCTCAAATGGTCAGTGTGATGCTTGAATATTAATGCTGTCTTGTTCTGACGACTGGTGTTCACTGTGACTGTATCTCACACTTCCAACACTCACATGCACCCTTCATCCTATCCTGGAAAGTGAGGATTGTCCTCAGAGACTGGGAGATGATGAGGCCTGGGGTGCTGATTACTTCAGCGCTCAGCAGTCAAGTGTATGCGAGTGAGTGAGTGTGTGTGTGTGTGTTTGTGTGTGTGTGTGGGGGGGGGGGACCTAGGACTTCCTTCAGATTACTTCTTAGGTGTTGAAGAAATCAAGTGTAAATTTACACATTCTTTCAAAATGCAACATTACTTTTACACATGATCACAGTCGCTCCCTCTCTCTGTTTCTTTTTGTCTGACACACCCACACACACCCTCCCACACACACACACACACACACACACACACAATAAATATACAGTTGGTATACGTCATAACAGTCCGTAGATGTCAAACCAACACTTATCCTAATAATAGCAGGGTTTTTTATGCAAGTTGCCATGCAACTACAATAACTTATTCTAGCACTTTTTTATGTTTATGTTTTCAATTAGCATATAAATGTCTTCAATGGAAGTAATGACAATGCAAAATTACTTGCAAGTGATTGTAAATATGGTCAAAAATAAATTGTAGACTTTAGTTTAACACCAAAATGCTGCTGCTTAAGCTAAGTTAGAAATTTCACTGAGCAGGGTTAATCAATTTTACACACGCGAGAGGGATCAATAGACTTTCTGCAAGACTAAAATATGAGAATTGATGAAATTATTGATCACTGTTTTGTGACATTTGTCTTTCATTTTCATTTTTCTTTCAGCAACAAAGACGTCTAGACCTGTTAACCATCACTACCTCAGGTAAGTCCCTGGAATTTTATTTCCCAACTTCACCGTCACCCACCATCGACCCAACACAGCACTCAGCGCAAAAAAAAAAAAAAAAAAAAACATTTTATGATCCTGTAGGAATATCAATGGCAGTAAAAGCTTAGTATCAGTGTATATTTCTATCTGTTTTATAACTTGTTTGATATTGATTTGTCACATTTCTGTCAATACGGCTCTGAGACACACTGTGAGGCATTCAATAGGAGGAACAGGCTGTTTTCTGGGTGCTGCTTGCACAAATCTGTGCAGATGGGCTGAAGAGAAACAACGGATACAAGTTTGCTTGTGTTGTCAAAGCCCTGCAGCAGGAGCACTGCTGAAGCGATAGCTTCAAATCTGTTACTTGAAATTCTGTTAAGGGATGTCTTCTGCAGACTATGGTTTTATCATCAGTGTATGTAAAAAGGATGGCATTGCTGGAGAAATCACAGGGCTGATAATGATTCTTTTTTTCAGAACATATAGTTGAAAAAAAAATTACACTTGAACAGCAGACATTTTTAGACAATTAATTTGAATTTTTTTGTCCCTAGTTTCACCTTTAAACATAGACTTGACAGCTATTTGAAAACATGTAACATGTAAACACTTGTATGTGGTATTTGCAGGACACAAGCGAGAACATAATCTACTGTAAATATATTTTCCTCTGGGAATTTTTGTTTAGTTTTGTTTAAAACACATCGCAGACTATGTTAAGGCCAACTATGTATCTATATTACTGCTTTTCTGATGACACATTGATTACATACATGCTTCTATGAACGAAGAGTAGAAGAACCATACACACATATGTAAATTCTCCTTAATAATACCTTTTTATAAATAAATATGCAAATGAGACCATAGCTAGCCTTTGACAAAATGGTGTATAGAAATTTTTACATGTCAAAAGCATGTGAAACGCATGAGGAACAACTCTGGAACTGTAAAATAGGTTGTTTCAGTTTATGTTTACAGAAAAGACACTAAGTGCCTACCGGTTCATGCTTGCACACCCTTTTATAAATTAACTTTTATTAAACCAGTCCAAGCCCATTGAGATCACAGATCTCTTTTGCAAGGGAGGCCTGGGCCTGAAGACAGCCTAACATGCATGTTTTTGGTCTGTGGGAGGAGACCGGAGTGCCCGGAGAAAACCCACGCATGCACGGAGAGAACATGCAAACTCCACACAGAAAGACCCCAGGACCAGCCGGGGATTGAACCCAGGACCTTCTTGCTGTGAAGCAACAGTGCTAACCACTGAGCCGTCATGCTTTCCCTTTTTTTAAATTTGGAAAACTTGTCAAAAATGTATTTAAAAACTCAAACACCATTTTTGTTAATACCAAATACAAATAAGTGTAGGATACAAACATAAACATATTTGTTCTTTATTTAGATCACTAAATTAATCCAAATGATAAATACAGTTTGTAAAATAATATGTGATCATACTTATGAAACGCCTTTATGAAGGTTCTACTGAGTGCTTTTGTTTTCTTTTCAAATGGCACCTTTATCATGGTGTGTGCATGTTTTGCACTTTTTTTTTTGCATTCAATCTGCAAATCTCATATTGTGTGGTCAAGTGTGCATATGATGATTCAAGTTCAGATGAATGTGGAAACATGTCACAAAGTAGCTGCAGTGTTAGAAATCTACACACGCTTCCTACAGAGGCAGCTGTGTGAGCAAGGGATTCACTGAGATGGACAGTGAGAGGAAAAAAGAAAACAGATGGCAATGACAAGAAGGATATAGAAACCTATATGTCTAAAGTATCTGGATGATGTAATATACTTTGATTAGAATAATGCATGAGGCTCATGGAGACCCAGTTAGTTTAGTATGTTTACACTGCAGCTGTTCCTCTGATTGGCCAGAGGCAGCACAAGTCGTGGTACTCAGTGTGACACAGGGTAAAATGTTAAATCTAGCACCTTCAAGCCTTATACATGGGAAGGAAGAAAACTAAATTACAATGTACTCTAAGCCTAGTTTCAAACATGTAATTATTTCCATCATGTTGTCTTCATGTCTAAGAGAACACCTTTCTGTTTTACACCAATTTGCCTTAAAACTATCTACAACTATGTACTCTGAAGTTCTTGAATAAAAGAGAACTGGACTTTTGTTTTTGTTGATTTTATTTTATTTTTTTTTTCACATCATCTCAGTCACAAAAGACGTCAACTCAGGGCACTGAGCAAAATACATTCATATACATTATAAAAGCTAATTAGTAAAATGTATCTAATACAATCAGAAAGTATATTTCATATTGTTAGAAGTTTGTGTATTCCAGATTGACTGTGTGTATGTTTGTGCTATTGAAAAATGTATGTCATAAAGACATTTCCACTAAGACATGTCATATTGTGTGCAGCCTCATGGGTGAGGTAAGAAGAACAGAGTGAGTCACTGATCTTACACATCTACAACTCATTTGTGTAAAACCAGTTTTTGCACTGTCTTGTCTTTTTATTCCAATACTCAACTGAATTACATGAGAATGAGTAGGTTTCTTTAAAACCTACTTAAAAGACCATTTCACACAACACTTTCAAGTTGGGTCTGAGATGCCTTAATTTTGGATCGATGGCTGAGACAGAATGGGTAGTTAGAAGTTAATCAGGTTAGGTCTCACTTGTAAATGAGTCTTCAAGGCTCAATGTGATTTATCTGTATAAATAAAGGTTGAATGAATAATCCTCTGAGCTTGTAACACATGTAGTCTTGGAGCTGACTTTGTGAGTGTGAAGTAGTCATGTGCAGTGTTACACTCTAACAATGCTCCTGTCACTCCAGTGGTTCCGCTATGCCAGATTCATGTGTTAGCACACATGGTGGTGGACTTGCTCTGCTCGACTGACTCCTGTGTGAACTACTAGAGAAGAGAATATCATCTCTGTGCCCCTATCTCAGAACCACAGTATGAAGAAGCTATTCTGTTTTTGTTCAAGGTCATGTCAGTGGCTGCTAACCATCCTGGCAGTCAGCCGGCAAAAGGTGGGGTACATCCTGGAAAGTTGGTTTGTCTTTCACACGGCTGACGCAAAACAAATAGGGCAGAATAATTGATTATTCTAAACTGATTTTAGGTATAAACATGTGCAATGCATCATTGTGAAATGTGCTTGTTTTCAGAATGTGAACAGAAGTATCTGGAGAAAACTCACTCATGGACAACATGCAAACTTAAAGTCAAGCACAGATGAGCAAAATATCAAAATTAAATGGTAATGACTTATAATGCAATAAGTATGAGAAATATATTACGACATCTCATGTCACTAGGCAGCAATGTTTTTTTTTTTTTCCATTTTATCAAAAGCAGACTTTGTGAACAATCTTCAAACATATAAAAGATTTTCTATTTAACTCTGGTGAGCATTGATCACCTTTCAACCTTTATTTATACAGGTTAATCCCATTCCAAATCCCACAGGTTAATCCCACCAGCAACATTATATAATTATTTGCCTGAAATGTTGTACAAGGAACAAAACTCTGCAGAGCGATTCGATAGGATTATTTAAAGTTCAACACTTCAGAAGTTAATTTACAGCAAGTCAAAACCAAGGAGTTATTTATACACACAAGGGAATGGGTATGTCATGCAAGGGGAAAGTATCCACGTTAATCTGAATATTTTTTATTACAGTGCAAATTGTTGTCAAAAATTGTCAAACACGAACAAATTTCTATTAAAACAAATGTGTGTTTTTTTCTTTAAATCTTGACCTTTTTGAAAGACATCGACGAGGGCTCAGTAGAACTATAGCCGTACTCAGTCTTTACCCTCTTTAAGGTATTCAACACAGATTGAAACAGCTTTAAAATATTTCTTTGTTAAAGCGTCTTCCTCTGACTGGTGTAGAGCTTGGTGTGTGCTGCATTAATGATTGCAGGTCATTTTTTTAGCCTGTTGTTATGTGTGGCCTTGAATCAAGGTCTATTAAATCCCTAACTTGACAGACATATTTTATCCTGCCCTGCTGCTTTATTACTATTCATAGTAGGTGAGCGTTCATGCACACACATGCACACGCACACACACCCACAATATGTGTTTAAAAGTGTTCAGTTTAAAAGAGTTTTACCTCTTTTGCCCATTTTCTTCTTGTCGTCTGCACACCTGTCTCCCTCTCTCCTGTTGATGCTTCACTGTGCTTGATTGGTTCAACAGAATTCTCATTATCCTCTGTTATTTATTAATGATGTTATTTAGGCACGGTCGGGTTATCTTTGCAGAGTTTTCTTGTATTTTTCTCTCCTTTCTCTCTCTCTGTCCTTCATTCCACATTGTATCTTCACTACACGAGCAGCGGGGGGAAATGCAGGGTGTGAGCAAACTAATAGTTTCAAGTGGCTTTATATATTGTGTTTGAGGGAAACTGAGAAAAAAATTGATGAGGATTCTGCCCCTGCTGTTCTGTTGGCCGTTGTTTTTAATGATTTTCATTAGCTACTAACGAATGATTCACATTTAAGCATAAATTTGCGCACAATAGGTAACAGTAATAGAAAACTTAAATTGAATTCCAAAGTGTGGTCCTAAAGCAAGAAGCTCTCATGCACAGCTGTGCAAGAAAATGAAGTGGTTTGCATATGAACTTATAACATTGTTGGATTTTTCACAAAATATTTTCAGGCAAATTGATTGTCTCACTGAGAGGCAGCAGCTCTACCAACTGAGCCACCAAAGACCCTAAGAATTTACCTTGAAAGATAATCTAAAAGGTAGAGATTTGAAATAGAAAACTTCTAATCAAAATATTTGGTTTTCAAATTAGTTTTACTTCAGCTTTGATTACATATCGTATATGTGAGATTTGATACAAAAAGATTTTAACAAAAAATATTACAGTTTGTATTAATGTAAGATTTTTTATATTCTTGTACATTTGTTGTTTCTGTGTATAATAAACTACAGAAAAAGTATTCAAAATCATTTGATAAAATATTAAATTTGATTAATGAAG